TATACTTGGGTGTGAGTGAAGCACGGCTATGCATTTGGAATGAGCTGTATTTATGCGAGTCTTTGAAAAAACGCAAAATATACGACATCATAGAAAAGAATTATAGATGGCGAATTGGAAAAGCGCTAGTTGGAAGCGTTTGTGGGTGAAGATGTGTGTGTGTGTGTGTGTGTGTGTGTGTGTGTGTGTGTGTGTGTGTGTGTGTGGCTGTGCATAAAGCAAGATTACATGCTGGTTTGAGCAGCTTTTGAATGCTAACTGCGTATCTATCTCTGCTTGGGTTGTCTGATGCATGTATGGAAATGTGTCATTTGCATATGCGGGCTGATGTATTCGTCTGTATTGACTCTTTACACACAGATGCACTCGCTAATGGGAAATGACTATGGATATTATAACCCCCGGTTAGCCCTATGTATGACTTCAGAATAATTAGAGGGGAATAATATATGGCAGAAATTGTATCATTCATTTCAAGATTGACTGAGTTATGACAAAGTGTATAATATCATAAGAAATGCACTCAGGAATCTACAGATTTTTTTTGTATGATTTAAGTTCAGATACAATTTCTAGTTTTTACTGGTAATTTAAATCAAATTACAATATTTTCTATATGATTTTATAAAAAAAAGATAGTTTCACCCATCTCCTAAATGAAACTTTCCAAAATATATAAAAAACAAATTTTGCCTGAGAAAATTATTAAAATTACTAAAAGATTTATTATTGAGTAAATATTCAATATTGTTTATAAATTAATTAATTCATTCATTCATTTTCTTGTCGGCTTAGTCCCTTTATTATCCGAGGTCGCCACAGTGGAATGAACCGCCAACTTATCCAGCAAGTTTTTACGCAGCGGATGTCCTTCCAGCTGCAACCCATCTCTAGGAAACATCCACACACATTCACACACACCAACATAAACTACGGACAATTTAGCCTACCCAATTCACCTATAGGACATGTCTTTGGACTGTGGGGGAAACCGGAGCACCAGGTGGAAACCCACGCGAAGGCAGGGAGAACATGCTAACTCCACACAGAAACGCCAACTGAGCCGAGGTTCGAACCAGCGACTCAGCGACCTTCTTGCTGTGAGGCGACAGCACTACCTACTGCGCCACTGCCTCGCCCTTGTTTATAAATTATTTTCAGTATATTTTATCAATGTTTTCTAAGTTTTTACATAAGAAAATAAGATACTAAATGGAATCAATTGCTAAAATAAAACCCTTTAGTTAGTAAATGTCTGTACAAATATTATACATATAAATATTGTGTATTATATCCCTAATATTATCAGTCTATGATCAGTGTTGTAGTTGTATGAATTATAATTATCAAAAGTATAATTTTTATATCAATTATTGTAGTATTTAAATAAATTGGAAAGTCAATTAAAAACAATAACATTGCATTATTATAGTACATATACAATAGTACAAAACAAACATTGTATATATACTACCTGACAAATGTCATGTAGCCTATCCAAATTTTAGGAACAACAAATAATAACTTGACTTCAAGTTAATAATTTGGTATCAGAAGTGGTTTATATGAAAGGCAAAGGCCTCTAGATTACGCTTTTTTTACAAAAATAAAGTCTGATCATGCCTTGATTTTTAAATATTTATTTAGGACAGTAAGGTCTGACTTTGCTTAGACAAAAGTCTTGTCACTTAACAGAAATAATGTACAGTATAGAATAATAAAGTCATGGTGCAGCGGGAAGATAATTAATATTGCGTATGACTCCCATGAGCTTAGAGGACTGCATCCATACATCTCTGCAATCACTTAACTTATTAATAAAATCATCTGGCAACGAAAGTGTTCTTGCAGGACTCCCAGAGTTTATTAAGACTCTTTGGGTTCATCTTCAATACTTCCCCCTTCATGACATGGTCAATAATGTTCATGTTTGGTGACTGGTTTGGCCAATTCTGGAGCACCATCACCCTGTTTGATTTTTATTATGCCTTTTAACATACATATTATTTATACATTATTTTATTCATTCATTTTTTAATTAATCTTTATTTTGGATTAGTCACTTCATTAATCAGGGTATGCCACAGTGAAATGAACCACCAACCTATCCAGCACATGTTTTATGCTGTGGATGCCCTTCCATCCGTCACCCAACACTGAGAAACACCCAAACGCACTCTTTTACACACATACACAACGGCTAATTCAGCCCATTCAATAATATTATATGCATATAAAACAAGTATTCTAACATTTTATCAACCTGGTCAATCATTCAGTAACACAGTATATATTAAATTGTCATTCTATCATGTAACAGAATCAATGTGCCTGTATTTTTTTTTACAGTGTATTTCATTATGAAAGACATAAAGACATTATTACAGACATTAGGAATGGCATATACCTGTAACCAGTCATTCCAGCTCCATTTCATTAGTAAACATACAGGACTAATATTACACACCCTCATGCAGCCACAACAACTATGCTAATTCAGCCATTTTGGCTCTATTTACACTTAACATCCAATACATAAACACAGTGAGCTCCACTCCACCATGACGGCTCTGTTTCCTCCTAGTGTAAGAGATTGTGCTGAAAGATGAACGCTAATCCTGCTTGTCTGTGAAGTGTGAAGTGTGTTGTACCTATAACCCCAACAAGTGAACGTCTCACACTCGCATCCCCAATATTAACACTATTCCGAGAAGATATGAAGAGAAACACCTCGGAGAGCAATCAAGCTGAGCGTCAGACTGAAAGAGCCTCTCAATGCGGCCGTTTAATAAGCTGTAATATTGAATTAATCACCTGAAACACTTAAAACAGGACAAAAGAGGCTGAAGAAATGATGGGATGTGCTGATGGCTCTTTAACGAGGGGATTGGTTTGGATTAATGTGTGTGAAAGAAAAATCTACTGAAATTCAGCTAACGCACACACTTAAAGCTATCAAAGAACGGTTTCATAGCTCAATGAAAAGTGGCTACACTGCTTAACAATATGTTTTCTACAAGTGATTATTCGCAGGCAGTTTAACTGACAGGCAATCTAGTCAACCATAACATTGAATTCTCCGGCATCTTGTTTTTCAAGTAAACAGCACAGATTAACCAGGTGTAGTAAAGTAACATATGTAACTTACCAAAACAATTGTGAATGTGCTCAAACACTGCTTTTCTTTGAGGTTTTTGTCTTGTTTTTAGTCCAAATATAAAAAATAAAAAATAAAAATCGAGAAATATTGTTTAGACAAGTAAACAATATTGTTTTGTTTTTGGAAATAATGTCAATATAAAGTGAGATTTTTATTAAAACAAGAAAAATAATATGATTTAAAAGCAGATGCTGAATATATCCATTGTATGTTGCAGATATTTATGTCTGCTGCTGTCTAAAATCAGTATGTCATTTTTCAAGAAATTATTCACTATCTTTCTGGGGAGGGCACAAATTGATACGGCCATGGCTGATACCAAAAGCTTGAAAGAAAAAAGAGAAGGTGGGGGTGGGATTTACAAAGTGTCAATTCTTTGATAGAAGAGGGATTTTAAAAGTGTATCATGCAAAAGATCCCCAAATATAATGATCCCCATTCACAAAAATAAATAAATAAATAAATGAATGAATAAATAAATAAAAAATGAATTGATTAATAAAAAACAAACAGCAGTTGAGTGCATGAAGTAAAAAGGAAAGGGGAAAAGCACGTATTTGAGTCTATATTTCCTCTATAATTTTTTTTGTAACCAGGTTTGGGTGACGTACACAAAAATAAAATAAAATAAAATAAAATAAAATAAAATAAAATAAAATAAAATAAAATAAAATAAAATAAAATAAAATAAAATAAAATAAAAATGAAATGAAAAACAAAATAAATGAAACAAAAAGAAAATAAAATAAAACAAAAAGAAAATAAAATGAAATGAAAAAAAAAATAAAACAAAATAAAATAAAATAAAATAAAATAAATAAAATAAAATAAAATAAAATAAAATAAAATAAAAATGAAAATGAAAATGAAAATGAAAAAATAAAATAAAATAAAATAAAATAAAAATAAAATGACTTTAAATTAAAATAACTGCATTGAGTGGATGAGTAAAGAAGAAAGAGAGAAAGCACAGACTTTCTGGCTCTGTATCTTCTCTGTTAAATTTATGTAACCAGGTTTGGGTGAAGCAGATGCCCAGGACTCAATCCACAAAGTTGATAAAATACTGTGAGCACTTTTGCATCCCTCAGGACGGCAGCAGGACGAGTGCATATACATTGTGCTGACTCAACAAGTCTCCTTCTTTTTCTCCTCATTTTTCTCTCCTCTGACCCAGCGGTCCTGCATGTACCCATCTGATGTGAACCTGTCAGCCCACTGTGCATTAAAGCACCTCTCTCATTACCGCCCTGTCCCTCCTGCCCCGCCTGAACCATCCCACTATCCACACGACACCCCAGAGGGGATATCAGCCCTCCAGAACACATGCTAAAAAAAACCTGGGGATGTAAGAGAGCGGCCTGCTCATCCATCTCTTTTCTCCTTCTCTTCTCCTTTAGAGAATGGCTAACTCTTCTATTCTTTTATTTTGTACTATGAATGTGCCATATTGCAAGATATTATGTCACTATATAATACAATATCTCAATCAAAATATAACATCATGACCAACCTCGTTCACTCTGAGGCAAAAAAGCATGTTTTCTATAATCTGGTAATATAGTATAGTGATCTAAAATGCCTCCCACCGCCCACCTCCCCAAGGGAAGTGTAGTGTGTATTGATATAATATGAGCTCAGTCTCTCTCTCTCTCTCTGTTCATTATGCTGTCAGGGGAGGGTGACCTTGTCCTCTCTCCATCTCTCCTCCTTCAGCTGTCCCTCCATCACTCTACTCTCTCCTCATTCCTCTCTTTCATTAGCACGCGATGTCATGTTCCCTCCGTCCTACAGCTGTTATGGATGGAAGAAAGGAGAATATACATGTATATATTCATACCTGTCTCTCCGACATGACGTAGATGTAGCTGTTGTCCAGGGAAAAGGCCATGTCTCTGAGAATCGAGTTTCCATCTTTGATGACAGAAAGAGTTTCATACTGGACGCCGCCTTGAGGAGGACCATCAACCCGAATCTGAGACACAGAGAAGACAACAGTCATGAGCAGAAATTCATTCACCCAAAAATCATTTATCACGGCAATACGATGAATATAAGGAAAATGAATTGTACATATGCACACTTACTATACAATCATTTTCTTTTTCTAGCAGTTTATATATATGCATACAGTATACTTTCATATTACACAATAATTTAATATACAAAATCCGTCTTGAGTTGGTCGGGTGTATTTGTGGGAATGGTCAAAAACACATTGTATGTAAGTTATCAACTTTATTTTATGTTAAAAATCGTTAGAATATTAGGATAAATTATCTTGAAAAAGTATTTTTTATTTAAACGTAAATCACATGGAAACTTAATTTTAGATTAGTAATATGCATTGCTAAGAACTTAATGTGTGCATGTGTATATATATATATATATATATATATATATATATTAGGGATGTAACGGTATTGTAAATACCGTCATACCGTAATATAAATTTTTTTCGATATTACCGTAGTCGCATGACTCGGTAAAACTATAGGTCTTCTGAGAAAATTTGCTCAGGCGAATGAAGCGAACGGGAGGTACCGGAAACTACAATTCCCATCAGCCCAGGCTTGGCCATCATGCCTTGCGGTCTGTTGTCGCTACAGATCCAGTAATGCGGAAATGGAGTGTGCTGCTAGAAGCGGGGATGAAAAAGAGCTGGAAAACCCTAAAGCGGGTGTTGTCGCCGCGCGCGTACTGAATAGTGGTGTTGTCGCGCGAGTTCTTATCAGCTGTGTTGTCGCGCGCATACTGAATAGCGGTGTTGTCGCGCGAGTTCTTATCAGCTGTGTTGTCGCGCGCGTACTGTGAAACGGGGACAGAGGGTATGTCGCGTCGCGGGGGCTCTTTTGATCATTTTTGAAGGAAACTTTCTATCCAAGACTAAAAAGGGCATGTGCACTGCACAGGTTGAGCACTGTGTGTGCACGTGCCTACAAGTTGGGGAATACGACTAATCAGTCATGGGGACTGCAGAAACAGTTCAGATTGATGCAGACATGAGATCTCTATCTCACTCATGGTTTGTCCTCTCAAGTGGGGGAAAGACAATGCACAACGTTCCCCATTGCTAACAACCTGGGCCAAGTCATATCTCTCTTGTCCCAGAAACCTCAGTCCCAAATGAGAGGGTTTTTTTCTGTTGCAGGGGACATTGTAAATACCCAGAGATACCAGCTTTTACCAGATTATATTTATATGATAATTTTCCTTTAAACCCATCTCTATCTAAGTGAGTGAGTGATTAAATGTTGAATGTGATGAGTTTTCAACACTACTAAATTGAAACTTAATTTTTTTACATGGTTTAATATTTTTTTGTTATTAAAATTGAAGTTCCTGTTTCAAAGCTTACAGATAGAGGACTAATTTGTATGTCATTGACACTTTTGGCACTTTTTTGGAGTATTTTCATAAGTTTTGTTTTTTCCTGTAAATGATTCAATAAATACCGTATCGTGACATTCATACCGAGGTATTACCGTACCGTGAAATTCTGATACCGTTACATCCCTAATATATATATATATATATATATATATATATATATATATATATAATTTTTTTTTGATGATTATGTTATGTACACTGAAAATTAGTTTTAAAGCAGTAATTCATTCAATTAAAAATGTATCTTTCATTTCATTTTAATACTGTTTGTTTTATTTTTCAAGTAAAATATTTTAAGTTCATAATATAGGTAAATAAAAATGTTTTTGATTAAAAGGTGATCTAAGAAAAATTGGTTTTGACCAATGTAAAATTTTTTGGTTATTCACATAGGCCCGTGCATGTGTATTAAACTAAAGCTCAATATGCTTTGTACTTTAATGGACATACAAAATATTGTTTAAGGCAAATTATTTGTTTTTCCTTGGCTCAAGTGATCAAATTTAGATGTGAAACCATTACCTATTTTTTTTTTATTGGATGAATGAACATTTTATGGAAATGTTTGATTTGACTAAAGCTTTATCTTTTTGTTTAGTACAAAAAGAGAATTTGAATTAATTGTCATGGTCAGAAGCAGCTTTACCAAACATAATAGATAGCACAGACAAAAAAAAATACTAACAATGTAATTTGGAAACAACTTCCCTGAATTAAACACAAACACTTATGATCAGTTCATGAGATCAGCCAGATCAATGAGAACCGATTGAGTTATTAAATGTGATTATCGAAGCATCCCTAGTTTAAGGCAAATGATTTATTTTGCATTGAATCAAGTGAGAAAATGTATACTATATATTTTTTTTTGGATGAATGAAAGCTTTTTTCCAGTGTATATACTTAGATTATTACATGTATATATAAACAAAATAAATAAACATAACCACCATAAAAAAATACATTTTTATAATTATAAAACTATATTTCCGATAGATGAAAATAAAACACACTGTAAAAAATCATACGACAAAAAAATTATGACAACAAATGTTTTTATGTTATTTTAACTTATTTTAATAAGTTAATCAAGTTTTAATATACGATTTAAAACCTAACACTTTTTGCCAGCTTGACTAATGTAAGTTGAGATGACTAGAACATTTCATTTGGTTCAACTAAACAATTTAAGGCTGTAAGAATTTTTTACAGTGAAGATAAAATACATTTACCACCAATTAGCTGGCTAAACAGGTTTTGATCAGGTCAAAGGTTGTCTCAGAGCTATAAATCCAGCTGCACTATTAATTGACGTCACAGGTTTCACGCTAGACTGTCTCCTCCCACTGTATAGAGTGTGACTGGGGTCAGTCCAGGGTCATGTGTCTGTCTAGCAGAGCTTCACAATAGAGCAGACAACTCTGAACAAACACCAATGACACTGAGACTGAAGGAACACAGCGAAGACAATTCAGTGAAACTAAAGATGGACAATTACGATTACTGTCAAATCTGTACTGAAACATGAACAAGCTGTTTCCCAACACGACTCTGACCCAGAGCACAAGTCAGGAGGAAATAAAAAATCATGTCCACGCTATGCAAAGTCCCTGTTTAAGCATTAGTCCACTCCAGCAAATGTAAAAACCATCTGCGAACGGCAGCCTCCCAATCCACTAAACTGACATTTACAGCATACTGACGTCCTGCTGTAGCGGTAAATGTGTTCATACATAAAACATGTCAAGACCCGCCTCCTCGTGCTCGGCCGAGCGTGACCCTGATATGACCTGGCGAGCACCACAGGGACCTTATGTCACGGAGAACTGTGTGCCCAGTAGTCCGCGGAGGGCACTTTCAAGAGCATACTTCATTTGCAGGCAGGAAGTGGCTCTGGCATTCTGCTCGTAGAGGTAAATGTTGTGTTCACTGGCCCTACAGGGGGATATAAAGCAATCAGACGTGGATACCAGAACAGGTTATGTGGATGTAACTGAGAGGCGCACACAGCTTTAAAGGGCATGAATGCCTTGATAAGCAGGGAATGGGCACAGTTAGATACTGTGTACCAGGGGCATTCAAACGTGGCTCTCCAATAGCAGAACTGGACAACCACTGCTGTGTATGCAGCTTGAATACATTCTTACATCGCTGTTTAACATAGATATATACACTAGATATCGCATAGGGACCCTGAGCATGCGTCAATAGCGCCGCCACATTGGTACAGTGCTCCCAAAAATAAAATTATCATTAATTTTAATTTTAAGAAAAGTAAAATTATAATTTTCGTAATTAGAAAAAAAAAATTACATACTAACATCCAGGAAAACTCCCGATCATAGATATATGTGTATATCTCTGGCTTTGGATGGCCACAGTCCTCTCTGGTACCCTGGTCCCGCATTCATTTCAAAGGAGCGCTACCCTTTAGCAAGATGGCGGCGTGAGAACAACCATGAGAACAACCCAGGCTCATTCTGAAAATATACTGCTATATTTGTTTCTGGAGAGCGCTAAATACGTCCCAGGGGATATGTTTTTTGCAGTTTTTGTTTTCGTGAATCCACCAGAGGCCGCTGTTGACTGACTGACCAATCGACTGACCCACCCTACTTCCCTGAACCCAACCAATAGTGTTTTCAATAGCACCAATTAACCTGCACACCCACTTACCTAAACCCAATCGACAGTTCGTCTGATTGTTAGCACATTTTCATATTTTACCACATTATCACTCTGTTATTTACTTATTTATTTTATTTGTTGATTTGTGTTTTTGTCTGACCCACTTTTTGGAAGCGTTCTTAGCTGGACTCGAACCCCATTGTCATGGTCTACTTCTCTCTGTGTCTCAAGTCTGCTGACGTACATGGTGAGCTACTGGACAAGTAGCAGTGGGAAAGCCATTTATAACAAGATCAGCTGGTAAGCGCACAAAGAAATGACGTCAAGTGACATTTTGCTGTCAGCTTCAACCCTGACAGCAAAACAAGAACACTCCCTCCATCCTCTATCCATCTCACAGTGCATCCTGGTGCCATCACTTCCACAAATAAATGTACATTACTGTCCAAAAGATGTAAAAGAAAATAGGACTAATGACCAGTGGTGTGATTCCACTAGGTGGCAAAGTGGGTAGGGCTGTTGCCTCACAGCAAGAAGGTTGCCGGTTTGAGCCTCGGCTGGGTCAGTTGGCATTTCTGTGTGGAGTTTGTATGTTCTCCCCGTGTTGGCATGGGTTTCTTCCAAGTGCCCTGGTTTCCTCCCACAAGCCCAAAGACATGTGGTATAGGTGAATTGGGTAAGCTAAAATTGTCTGTAGTTAATGTGTGTGAATGTGAATGTATGGGTGGCTTGCAGCTGGAAGGGCATCTGCCGTGTAAAATATATGCTGGATAAGTTGGCGGTTCATTCTGCTGTGGCGACCCCTAATTAATAAAAGGACTAAGTCGAAAAGAAAATATCTGAATGAATGAATGAATAAATGAATGAATGAATGAATGAATGATTCCACTACACATTTAATTCCATTTATACAATCAAAATAGGAAAAACGTACCGTAACACTATTTTAAGTAC